TGTAGCACCACTATATGTTGACTTCAATGTTCAAGTGAAGGGAGAAGGAACTTCTGATCATAATCCGATTGAAATTGATTAGTTTTTAGGATGTGTTTTCTGTTTTTTATCCCTTTATTATCTTTTATTTCATGTTGATTTAGTTATGCTATTTGTTGTTTTAGATTTTCTGTTTAACTATTGATATTTTCAAATTTCATTTCATCATATTGGTCTTCTTTACTATATCTGCTTTCATTTCATCCGTATGAAATCAATTTCAAAGACTTTTAATTTTTTTTTAAAAAAAATCAATTCTTCAAGATGAAGACTTAAATAAAGGAAACCTAATTCTACCTGCACACTACTAAAATGGTTGAGAAGCATAAATGCTTCATTGAGAATTTAAATGGTTGCATGTAAAAGTTATTACATGGGGATTTAAAAATTGTAGTTATGATTATAATTGGTAACGAACCAAATAAATACAATTCAACTAACTGTAAACCAAACCAGATAGTTGCTCAACTCTCGGATTCTTTAGGCTAAGAATTCTTTAAGTTAACTAGAACTATTTCAGTGGTTAAATTATGAGAGGCAAAATATTTACTGGAAAAAATACTGTTAATATTGAAAAGAAATTAGGAAAGCTTTCAATATTCTCAAACCAGATATTCTCACTACTGGTTGGATCAAGAGTTCATGAATAGAATTTTGGGTAAACGAAATGGATGCATTGAAAAATATAAAGACTTCTTTGAGGAGCGTAAAAGACTCATTAAAACCCTAAACCTAACCCTAACCCTAGCTAAATTCAAATCATAATTCATACTATAAATTGTAACGACCCGGCCGGTCGTTTTGACAATTTGAGCCCCGATCCCCTAATAATTGTTTTCTCCATGTTTGTTTCCTCTATTGAGACTTGTCGGAGTGATTGGTTATGGAATTCAGAGAGTTTTGGGACACTTAGTCCCTAGTTATAAGTTTAAGCCTTAGAGTTTGGACCGTAGTCAAAACTGTGTGAAGACGGATCCGAAATGAAATTTCGTCGACTCCGTTAGCTCCAATGAGTGATTTTGGAGTTAGGAGCGCGTTCGAAATGTGTTTTGGAGGTCTGTAGTAGCTTTAGGCTTGAATTGGCGAAAGTTAGTTTTTTGACAATTTCGGTCGATAGTGAAAATTTTGATATCGAGCTCGGAATAGAATTCCAAAGGTGGCTGTAGGTTTGTAGTGTCATTTTTGACTTGTGTGTAAAATTTGAGGTCATTCAGACTAGATTTGATGTGGTTCGGCATCGTTTGTAGAATTTGGAAAATTTTAAATTCTTAGGCTTGAATACATACTTAATTCATGATTTTGGTGTTGTTCGATGTGGTTTGAAGGCTCGACTAAGTTTGTATGGTGTTATAAGATTGGTTGGTAGGTTTGATTGAGTTCACGGGGGCCTCGGGTGTGTTTCGGATGCTTAACGGAATGAATTTTGACTTAGGAAAAATCTAGTGCTTTTGCTGGTTCTACTGTAATCGCACCTGCGCAAGGCTGCCCGCAGGTGCAAGAAAATTGGCGCAGAAGCAGAGTTGGGTGGATTGGTCAGGGGTTGCATGTGCGTGGGAAAAGGCCGCATCTGCGATACCCGCAAATGCGCAATAACTGTTTGCAAGTGCGCAAGTTACGCAGAAGCGGAGGGGATTTCCGCAGGCGAGCACGCGCAGGTGCGGCCCTTTCGTCGAAGGTGCGAAGGCAGAGGGGGAAAGTGAATTGCGCAGATGCGCACTTTTTCCGCACAAGCGCACCCGCAGGTGCGAGCCCAGATTCCGCAGGTGCGGAAATACCTAGGCAATGGTTCAAACTGAAGGGCTTCGCGATTTTTTTTTATTTTTGACTTTGTTGCAAACTCGGTTTAAGGCGATTTTTGAGAGCATTTTCGAGGAATTTCTTGAGGTAAGTCCCTTGTGCTTATTTTTGATCAATAATCTTGCTTTGCCATGTATTTTTTCACCTAATTAGTGTATATTTAAGGTGAAAATTGGAAGTTGGAGGCTAGGGATTTGGAAGTTTGATTTGTGGATTTGGAGGACCATTTGGTGTTAGATTTTAGTAAATTTGATATGGTTAGACTCGTGAGTGAATGAGTGTTCAAAATTTCTAATTTTTACCCGGTTCTGAGACGTGGGCCCGGGGAGACTATTTGGGCATTTTTCCTAATTTCACGCCTTAGCTTCAAATTAATTAGTTGAATTTGTTACTTGTAGTTATATTTATATTATGCTATTAATTTGAATAGATTCGGGCCATTTGGAGTCAGATACTCGTGACAAGAACGTGATATCGAGTTGAATTGAGCGGTTTGAGGTAAGTGGCTTGCCTAACCTTATGTTGGAGATTTTTTCCTTAGGATGTTTGATATTAATTGATGTGTGGGCGCCGTGTACGTGAGGTGACGAATACGTACATGGGCTATTATTGCAAAAATTCTGTTTTTACTTTCTAAATCATAAACTGTTTTTTCTTATTAAATTACAATAATACATTTAATTGTTAAACTTAGACTAGAGAAGCATGCTTACGTGTTTTAACTGCCTATTTGATATTTTTGCGCCATGCTTAGTTAAGTCCCTATTTTTCTTATCTGTGTTCTGTATAGACTGTATCACTCTATGCCATACCTGCCATTTCATCTTGCGTTGCATATTTAAATTGGGACTACTGACGTATTCCGAGAGATCCCACTGTCTTGCATATTTATTTTGGGACTACAGACGTATTCCGGGAGATCCCCCAACACTGCATATTTACTTTGGGACTATGGATGTATTCCGGGAGATCCCCAGCACTACATATTTAATTTGGGACTACGGACGTATTTCGGGAGATCCCCCTGTACTGCATATTCATTCGGAACTACGGGATGTTATCCCGGGAGATTCCCCATTGTGTCTACCTTGTTCTGAGCCGAGAGCTCCCGTTATATTTTCGAGAATTTCTTTAACTGTGTTACCGTAAACTTTACTTATATCTTTTACTGTTTAATTTATTATATTTACTCCGTTAGGGCCTTGACCCGACCTCTTCACTACTAGACCGAGGTTAGGCTTGGCACTTACTGGGTACCATTATGGTGTACTCATGCCCTTTCCTACACATGTTTTCGTGTGCAGATCCAGGTACGAGCTATCAGCCTTGGGGTTAGTGCATGCTGCTGATTCTAGGAGACTTCAAGGTACTTCTGCTTGCGTCCGCAGATCTTCGGAGTCCCCTTCTACTCCCTCGCCTAGAGACTTTCTTTATTATCTTCAGACTTTTGTATAGAACTACATAGATTATAGCAGCTTGTGAATTAGTGATATTCCGGGTCTTGAAAAATTATTTTGTATATGCCGAGTGGTACTACTCTTGGATATTCACAATATACTGTTTATCTTTAAAATATTGTATTTTCTTTATATTTTTCGTAATATTAGGCTTACCTAGTCGTAAAGACTAGGTGCCATCACGACAACTTACGGAGTGTTAATTTGGGTCGTGACATAAATAGAAGAAAAATTATATTTTTAATCTCATCCTACAAATCATCTACCTATTTTGCGAAGAATGCGAAAATAACAATGGATAGAACTCCAACGAAGAAAACAATTGATGAACCTCTTCATGGTTCTCCGGTTAACCACAACATCCTGTACCAAGATGTAAGAAACCAGTTGAAAAAGCTGAAGACTGAAGAGAACTTGTTGCTGCTTAGGATGACGCGTGAAATTGGCTCCGACTACGTGAAAAGGCTTCTACTTGATTCTTACCCTCTTACCTCCTGTTATGACATGTTGGAGGAACTCCTCACTGACCAAAATAAAGATAAGGATGCTCATGTTATCGTTATAAGCAGTGACACCGAAGTCGCCTCTAAGGCATCAAAATCTGTCAATCAAAAGACAGAGTAGTTTTGCTATGCATGCCATGTTTGTAGCATGGTATGCTAAAATGAATTATCTTCCAAATATTATTTGGAATATATAAAAGATTATCTAGTAATCAATGAAAATGCTTATTTCGTATTTCTTTACCCACTGTTTTCTATACTTTTTTTTTTTGATACATGTTTTAAATTTTTTTTACTTCCTTTATCCCCTGGTTCCAAATATTATCGTGCTAAAAGAAATACACGTTTTTTATATATATATATGGGCACTTTGTCTATCTATTATGAAGAAAACAAAATGATTCCTTACTCAAATCATATATGAAGATAACGATTCCTTACTCAAGGAAGAATAGCTACAATAAATAACGATTCCTTACTCAAGGAAGAATAGCTAAAATAAAAAAAAAAACGAAACATGCTTCAAAGAAATTAATTACTCAAATCATGAACTCGAACAGTGCCATGTAGATCCTTGGATGTATTTTTGTCCGTTTTAGCAATACCAAAAGAGAAATAAATCCTTCTAACACATTTAACCTTACTTGAACGTAAGTTTTGCTAGAGATGAAACTCAAAAGCAACCATCACAAAATGAACTAAATCAGCAAGAAATTAAACAAAATTTCAAGAGTCACACTATGAACTAAATACAAAACCAAAGTGTATGGATAGAAAGCTTAATGTGAATAGAGTATCACAATTGATATGGGGTAGTATAGTTGGTCAGCTTGGTCTGTTTAGTGAGTAAGGACGAATAGAAGGGAATCAATAAAATAGTTGCTGGTGATTAATAAAAATTTTATTTTCACCAAAAAAAATGATAAACAAAAATAATTTAGGAATGCATATTAATACAATTAATGTGCAAAATACAGATTATTTCCTTGGAATATTTTGCATGAAATATGGTCGAAATGCTAAAGAAGTCATAAAATTCGAACTTCATAGATAATGAAGAAAGTAAACATGAAATAGTCATGCCCAACTTCATACAATACTTGATATTCAAAATGAAAAATAAAGTCCTCGACTCTTGCACACCAAAGAGAAATAACAAACACTTTTCTAACACAAGATAAAATAAGAACTAAAATTGACATAATTAGTTTCCAATATTTTCTGACAACTTCAACCCAATAAATATGCTCGCTAATATAGCAGATGAAATAGCACTTGCTGTACTTTCATTTGTTACCACTTCTTCACTTTCTTCAACGGTCGAGTTTGAAGATGACTCTTTCTGTGAACAACTTGCTTTATGAAATTTGTTGAAGGCTTTTAAGGTTTCATCATAATATTGGAAAGCTTGAAAGTAGCTACCCTCGACTCCAACAAGCATATTAACACACTCAGACCAACATTTGTATATTCCCGACTTCTTACCATAAAAAATAACAAAAACCATAGATTTGAGTCTTCGTTTACCTTCAGCAGATTTTTCAAATTCATCGAACGTCGATATGGCCGCATCGTGAGATTTGAAAGACTGGAAGATGCTACGCTTAACTCCGATAACCATAGGAGAACATTCACTCCATGAGTAGTATATTCCTGGCCTTTTACCAGAAAATACGACATATACTTTTGAAGCACTATTCTTCTTCGAATGCAGCATTATTGATTCCTTAATCTATTAACTCATACTTAGAAGAACATAGGAGTTTAAATGAAGGTCTGTTCAAGTATGTTTTCGACCATCTAGGGTTTGTTTAAGTAGGGTTTCGGCCATCTAGGTTTGTTTAAATAGTAGGGCTTTGAAGACCTTATTATACTAAAAAATATACGAAATTCACAATCAAATACTAAAAATATACGAAATGCACAATCAAATACATGTATATAGATGAATAATTTCGAATTATATGGGTGTATACTACAAAAAAAAAAGGATGGAAATGCGTAAAAAAAAATAAAAATAAAAAAAGGTTTATGGGAAAAAGGGTTTGCAACCTTTGAGATCTTTCATATATTGGGAAGACAACTATTAAATGGGTGGGTGAGAAATATTCAAAATTAACTAAAAGGGCATTATCGGTATAGATATACGCCTGATACCTTAATTGGGGCATAAAATTACCTTAATGACCCCATTTGGATCAATGTGGCCAAAAATGGTGTGCCAAAAGGATTTTTCCAAAGTGAAATGGTAAGTTAGGAAATTAGTTCTCCAGTCCAAACACAAAAGTAATATTCCTTGAACCAAGGGAGTAATTGTTTTTTTTTAATAGAAGGAAACCTTCCCTTTAAAAAGCACTCTAAACCAGTTTTCGGAACACAGTTTCTTGAATTTTTGCAAAAACTTCTTGACAAAAACGCGAGCACATTTCGGAAAAAGAAAAAACTGTGCATGTTGCTAATGATTACTACAAAAGACCTGCCATTTCTAGTTTATTTTTATTTGTATTTGTATTTGTATTTGTAGCGTTTCATGATTTTATAATTTCATTCCACAGGGTATTGGACCTACCTACTTTACCTTTTTACGTCTACTTCCATCGGACAAACCTATTTAACCTTGTTTCTTAAATATAACTCAAGCATAATTAATAAGAATGTAAAGCTAGAGAAATACACTTGTAAAATTACTTGGCCAAGGCAGACATGAAATCTCATTATGCAGTCCGATCGACCTTGCTTTGCTATGACACCTATATCAGCAGACAAGCTAGGATCTTTTTATGTTAAAACCGTATCATAGAATATGTATATAATAGCTTGGCCTCGGAAACCTTTGTGCTCTAAAAAGTTCTAATTTGTCTTATAATTTTGCTAATGACTCTACTATCTTTAGAAATGATGATCCCAATGGGATATCTAAATTATTTGGTATTAAGAAAATGGAGATTGATAATCAATTCCCGTTCCAATCGTGTTGTTTATTAGATAATTGAGTAGAATTTTCCCGAATTCTTTGTTATTCAAGTAAAAATAAGGCCAAATACATATGCTGCCTTAAACTTTGTCCGACTTTTCCATTTAGTCACTTAATTTGGCTTAGTACCTATTGAACACCTATGGGTCGTTTGGTATATGAGATAAGAATAATAATTACGGGATAAAGTTTGGGATTAACTTTATACTATAGGGTTTTAGTTAATCCCGAAATAACTTTTATACTAAGATAGTGAGATTAATTATCCCACCATATAGAAGGTGGTGGGATATCCTACCATTGTACCAAACGACCCCTTGGTACATAGGATAAGAATAATAATCCTGAAATAAAGTTTGGGATTAACTTTATCCCATATTTAATTTTGGGTTTAGCTCTTCCCGGGATAACTTTTACATTTTAATTTTAGGGAGTAATATGATTATTACTGAGATAGATGTACTATAACCAATGAAGGTGAGCTTAGGTTAAAATATGGAAACAAGAATAATGGAGATGCGGGGGATCGAACCCCGTGCCTCTCGCATGCAAAGCGAGCGCTCTACCATTTGAGCTACATCCCCAATTGTTTGTACTTTTATTATTTTGTTTATTTTATTACTTGCAGGTTCTTATCATGCGAAATTATGTGAAAGATGAACCTCTCGACTGATGGTTATTTGCCTTGACGAAGCCATAATTAAAGCTACTTCGTTTTATATAGAAGAAAAATTAAACTAAACTGGAGCTTTATTTATTACTCCTAATTACATCAAACTCACATCCGTCTAGACAGATCGCAGAAGAGAGCTAATCTCCACGAAAATAAGAAAAAAAGACATCGCTCCAGACAGATGGAGGAAGCAAGTTACAACTTACAAGAAAAATTAACTCTCCTACTTCTAGTTTCTCTCTCCCTGATATTAACATATATAAATGATGATGCAGTGGTTCTTCAGTACTGAAAGAACCTTCTTATTCTGGTTATATATGGTACTCCTTATATATACTAATACTAAATCAAGAAACAAATATGTACAGATTAATTATCTATGCACAACAACATTGGAAATCCGATTAGCAGCCGGTAACCTATATCTCTATCAGTTTGTTTGTGCGCGGCCTTTAGCATTCATTTCTTCACACACATAAATAGTTGTTTTCTCAGTTGATCTATCTCGTCAACGATCCCAAGCACTCAGCACGATCCTGTAACACAATCCAAATCCAAAGCACATCAGAGAAAAGAAAAGATGTATGCATGCAGCTTTTAGATACTAGAAAAAATAGAAGCGCAAATAATAATCAAATGATATGGTGGAATTATATATAATTAGGGAGCTAGGGCAAGGACAAAAAGTACCAATCATAGTTTGGAGACCGTTCCCTGTTTGCTTTTCCCTTTGGTTGCTTCTTGTAATACCTCCGTGGTGTACTTGCTGTAGGAAAACCGAGAAAGAAAAAAATTCAACCTATTAATTAAACATCTAATACCTAATAATAATAAACCGAGAAAAAAAAAAACATTTGTTAAACACCAAACATCTCAAAGCATGAAAAAAGGAAAAAGCTCAAATTTATCTTTCTACTATATAAAATATTTTTAATTTTATTCTTACGTATATATATTTGGAGCCATTCATATTTTTATTATTGGCAAATTGATTCGTATGTAACTTCGAATATAAATAACAGAGCTCAAACATGGTCCTTAGTGGAAATGTCTAATTTTACCCTTCTACTGGTGACATGGGTTAAAATTGTCCTTTGTTATATTTCAATTGAAAATCTGTTACGATTAAGGATAAATATGAGACGATATGCTAAATTCATTAATTAACATTACATTAGTTCTCGTGTTGTATTGCTTTTAGTTTTGGAGCAACAATAAAATTATTTCCGTGTGATCCATAGGTCAAAAATGTTTATATGCCACTAATGTTTGAAAACATTAGAATAAGCAGTTTACATAACAAACCTTAAGGGTGCCACCCTTCCTAGACCCTGCTACAGTGTACCGGACCGCATTTTTCACGAAACTGACATGCTAATAAAAGATATGAATGACCTCAAAATATATTGGAGGATATACTTAAGATAATTATGGAAGAGAGATATTTTCGATCATTTTCTGTTTAAAAGGGGGGGTGGGGGAAACTAGCAATAATTATGGAAAGAGGACTAACGTGCAAATGGGGAAGTGGGAGCGCTAGAAGTAGCAGGGGAAGATGGTGCAGATCCAGAATGAGGCGTAGCGTTGACACTTGGTGATGCAGAAGTTGAGTTGCTGCGGAGAATTGTAATGCTCCGGGAAATCGGGATCGGATTATCACTATCGGCGGCGACGGCGTTGTGGTGGCTAAACTTGGTGGGGGACGAAGGAGCACTAGAGGCAATACGCCCAGAGAAAGTATTAAACTTGCGGAGTTTACTTAGGCCTGAATCTGGTGCAGGTCCGGCAAGTGTATCATCCCACAGTTTGTGAAGAAAACCCATAATCGATGAATAATCCAATGATCTGAATTCCTAATAATTTAAATCTTTTTTTCTTTTTAATTTTGTTTTCGTAGTTTCGATATTTATTGTAGTAATTCTTTTTGTAACAACCGTAAGGAGGTGATGCAAAACCTCTGTATATATATGTAGGAAACTATATATGGCGGGGGACACCACCCGAATGCGACTGTTACAACTTCACAAAGAGAGAGTGTAATTAAAAAAACAAAATTAGATGACGAAATTAATTAATTAATTAATTTGATGTTTTGGTAAAGAGAGGCTTTTTATAGGAGCAATTAGAGATAGGAGATGGAGACGGAGACGGATAAGGTAAGATTTTGATGGCTAGGGACATGGAAGGAAGCAGTGGACGTCCGGCTAATATGGCTTTGTCTCAAGCCATTGAAATTTTTACGAATACTAATGAATGGGCCATTTGCTCTATAATTAGATAAATGCTCTCAGTCATGCGTTGTTTTGCTCTATAATTGGAAAAGTGTTTTTGACTCGTGCAGGAAGAATACTTAATAATAATAACTAAATTAACCTACAAGTTAGATAGATAAAAAGATTCACCACCAAGGGTAGAGTAGGGGTTTCGTCGGTCAGTATCCCAAAATATTTACGTATTTCGGTTCTATATTTTTGGTATTCGATTTCTTAAAATGCTATACCAATATCACACCTAATTAGATTCGGTATGGTTCAATTTTTCTCTTTTCGGTTTTAGTTTATTCGGGACGGTAACTTCAGTTTCACTACTACAAATTCGGTCAAAACCGACAATGGTAAACCGACCGACTTCGGTCGATTTTTTATATAACATAAATTAAAATTAATATTCAAAAAACCGACCGAAATCGGTCGCTTATTTCAGTCGGTCATTTTAAAAAACCGACCGACTTCGGTCTGTAATTTTATATTTGAATAAAACCCACCGAAATCGGACGGTTATTTTTGCGCAAAAATACAATTAAAGAGTACAAATAAAATAAAAGATAGTCTTAAACCAAAATGTATCAATGGTCTAGTGGTAGAATAGTATCCTCCCATAGTACAGGTCCCGGTTCGATTCTCAGACAGTGCGTTTTTTAATTGCATAATTAAAACTACCGACCGACTTCAGTTGGGGTTTTCAGCATATTTTTTCTTTTTTGGTCGCTTGTGAAATTTTATTGAACGACCGAAATCGATCGGAAATTGCGACCATCTTCGGTCGCTATTTATTACCGACCAGCCTAATTTCGACAAATTAAAGTCGGTCGAAAATCGATCGTTTTTTTTAGTTTTTCGACCGATTTCGGTCGGTATTTCTGGACTGTTTTAAGTAGTTTTCTAGTAGTGTTTGTTCGGCATGAGTATTAACTAGTGCATAGAGTCAGACCGTAATATTCTTAAGTAAAGTAGTCACAAATACAAAAATAAAAACGTTCTAAATTTACCTAACCTTTGACAAAATCTTTATCCAAAATTAGCAGGTATTAACACATATATANGAGAGAGAGAGAGAGAGAGAGAGAAAAGTGCCTAAAAGAATAAATTTGATCATTGAAAATCTCTTGTTACTTGCTTAGAGCTAATTTCTGACCTTAGAGAATACAACATGGACTAATCCAACATATGCAACATTAATACATGAGTAAGAAACACCCTAAAGTCATAGAAACATTACATTAACCTGCTCAGCAGCCCGGAGAATAAGAGTCAAAAGCTACGGCCTAACTTGTTCCTCTATTTTCCTATAGGAGGGGCTTTATGCGCTTCCTCCTCTAATGCTCCTCTAGTTCATTGTCATTTATTTGCTATAAAGATATCGATCGTAAAGAGCATTGGGGCTTTATGGGCTTCCTCCTTTAATGTTCCTGTAGTTCATTGTCATTTATCTGCTATAAAGATATCGATCGTAAAGAGCATTCTTAAAAGAATGTTACAGAACTGGATTCAAAATTTAAAATTTGTGGGTTTCAAATTGCGCAATCTATATACATAATTTTTTACTTTTTGCATATCTATATACAACTCGAGTCAAATGTCATAGCTTTGGTTTGAACCTGTTGTGAATGATATAAATCCGGAGTAGACGAGTGCTATAATCTTACAAGGAAAAAACTAGTCTTACTATTTTAGTACTCTAAGAAATGCTCTCTGTTTTATCCCACTACTATATGTTAACTTCCAACGAAGCCGAGCTTAGATAGCTGGCAACTTTGGCGAATAAAGACCGAATTTGTAGGAGAGTTGGGGCCAAGGTGACGTGGTCATACTCATCTGCTCTTACTTTTTGTTAGAACACGTTATTGGATAAGATTGAAACTCTTGTTGAAAAGTTGCTGTGGTGGGAGCTGGGGAAGTTTCCTATGAATCTAGTCAAGTCTTACCTTAAATCCTTCATTAACACATTCCACTTATTAGTGTTTTTAGTAAAAACTGAAAAGAGATAGATTAAATTCTGTTTTGATATAGTAATAGCAATTCTAATTTACATTGTTCAGCTCCAAATGTAATTTAAATTTACTAATCTAAAGTAAATACACCATCAAATATCACTGTAGAAAGGTTGCACCAATCCTCTGCCCAAGAGGCCAAATTGTTATACCACGTACGCTTTTTTCTTTTTAACTTTAAATTAAGTTCTTTAAAGGAAAGGATAGTAATTAGTAGGTAGGAAAGAGGTAGAAATAAGATAAGATTGGAAGTAAAATGAATATTCCGCCTTCCGTGACAAAAATAAGAACTGACACTACCTTTTCTCACTTGGGGCACATTCCCAAAAGAAATTGGCCCCCACTAGATACAAACCGCCTTACCTTCCAATTATAGACCAATGATAAATTGCCTGATTAACCCTCAACAGCACCTTTCCTATTTATGTTGTCAATCTCAATCAGCTGTAACCTACTATGAACCAACTCCTCCCACTCGGCCACACCATTCACGTATCAACAACTCCTTGAAAGAATAGCAGCTTACAACCTCTTCTATAATCAAGGACGGGTGTACTGCTGAACCCATAATTTTTTACGCGTCTTGTAAATTTATGTATAAAATTTCACTGAAATATCAACTCATAAATTAAGAAATATAACTAGTTCAATCCTAAAAATCTTAATAGTTGAAACTATAAAGTTTAACTCATGAATCCATAAATGTCTATAATTTCACTGCAGAGATAAGAAAAATAAACATTAAACTAGCGTTTAAATAAAAAATTAGTTGAAACTTTTAAAAAAAATTATATTAAAAAATAGTTTTTGAGAGTTAAAATTATGTTTGGACATATATTTCACTGGGAAAAAAGCCAAAATTTTACGAGTGAATAAAAATTTTAAAAATTTTCTTCAGAAACATTTTAAAAACGGATCAAATTTCATGAATTTTTAAAAATTTTATTGAGAAAAGTGACAAATCTATGCCAAACGGGAAATAAGTGGGCTCATCCTCTTTCCTGGAGTTGGAACATTTCTTTATGATCCCCAAGGCTCTAGTATACCATTTAAAAGATGACATTATTGACCAATAATGCACAAAAACCTGTCACATGCTAGCGTACTTGAGGGGAAGACTATTCTTAGGTAAGCTTAAGCAGAAGATTCAGGAGAATGGTTCATAGAAGCAACTTAATACTGTAGACAACAGAAATTTGGTAACATCAAACATCAGGTCTCAGCAATTGACATCATCCACAAAATGCTAAATTGAAAATCTTTTATTTGAAGTTTTGAGAGGTTAGTTTACCTAATTACATAAACTGCTCGCTCAATTGCCAACACATTGAGAACAGCATCAGAGGGTTAAAGCATATGATTGACTATGCCCCATCTCCTAAACACAGACACCTAAGAGAACAAGGACAGAGATATCAAACGAGTAAACTTTCAAAATAATGCATACAACACATACTTAAGTCTTGCTTGGAGACAACATAACTGTAAACTTCACTCAAATGAAGCTTTATTTACAAAACTTAGCAAAGGGAGGGCAGGCTGGCTTAGTAAACACCTCCCATTAAAGAGGGAATATCCTCAAAGGACCAAAGGTCCATAGCATTTCCACCATCCTGAGTTGCATCTGCATTGAGCAATGCATCAACTGATGCATCCCAATTTCCCTCAAGATATGGGATCTGCAAGAACTTCATCTGGGATTCAAAAGCCGAAAGCTCTTCAGATAGCTTGTGCACAGTGTTGCCATCATCTGCCAATGAGTTGTTGGAACAGGACTTCAGTTTTTTCTCTGGGCTGGCATCTTCATCAAATTGAGTCCCATTACTTTCTAAAACAGCCGACAGAACAGACGATATCTCGGGAGACCTTGAACACGGTTCACCCCAACCAAAATCAGAGCAGTCAAAAGTGTTACTTCCTTCATCAGAATTGAAGTAAACATTTGTACCAGCTGAAGGCGAAAATGAGCTAAGTCCCATATCTCCAACAGTAAAAGACATGTCCTCGTAGCCATACTGCTTTGCTGTTGGCTTCTCTTCGACAAAGCTCAACGAATCATCAGAACCACAGCCCAAGTTGTTAGTAAAAGTGCTGTTGGCCTGAACTATGTTCGAGCTCTCTTTGTGAAGTGCCTCCTGGGGATTTAGCTTAACAACACGTCTTGAAGAAGACACTGGAGCTTCATCGGGAAAGTTCACCTTAGCTTTCTTGCCTCTGATCCTCCGGGCCTCATTATCATAAGCTCTGGCAGCTTCTTCTGCAGAATTGAAAGTTCCAAGCCAGACTCGAATCCCTTTCGTTGGATCACGTATTTCAGCTGCCCACTTACCCCAAGGGCGCTGTCTGATCCCCCGGTATTGATTCTTTCTCTTTCTCTTGGAGGATTTGTCCGCATCGCAGCTTGAATCATCAGATTTCACAGATTTGGAGCCTTTGGAAATAAAATTAAGCATATCAGTAATCCATAAAAGCACCAAATTTTGCAACAATCATTCAAGTAAAATGGCAAACAGATATCAAGAAGGCGTGAAACATACATTACAAATTTCAAGCTCTTCAAATTTTTTTTTTTTGGAATCATGATTAAAACCAAGGAATCAAAATTTTATGTTTTCTGCTTTCATTTGTGCCAGATTACTTGCGCACACCAGCTTCCATCAAAGCATGTACTTTTATTTTTTCTATTTGCAACACGTAGCAAATCTTGATATAAGGTTCAACATCTAGAGAATCAAGGGTTCATCATTTAGAAATCTGCTAAATGATCCAATTGTGTCCAAATAGGAATTTATAATACAAACAATTATATTACTTAAATCGTTGTTTATCTTATCAAATATATTGGTAATGAGCTAGGAAAATTCTTTACTCCGGGGCTAACACACCCTCTGGTAAGATAAAAACCGAGACTGCAGGGAACTTTAAGGAGGTCCAAAGATCTAATTTTGTTCCGCATCAAACATAGTCAACAACTTCACAAATTACAACTACTTTAGGGTCTTACTTTGTCCTAAACAATTTCCTTTCCTCGGCTTAATAAGGAAGAAAAGTAGCAACCTTTCTCCTCTTTTTACACTTCACAAACATTCTATGCCCAAAAGTTTTCTTTTCTCCTTCTATATGAACACCCAAATACTAATGGAAACATTTTGAATAGGAAAAAAATAATTAAAGTTCAGCTAACTTCAGTGTTTTCATCACAAAGCAAAATTTCACTCCACACACAAACAAACACCAAAATACTCAAACAGTCAAACTAAATCAAGTTCTAGAAATAAACCAAATAATATTTTAATAGTTAACGTTTTCAAAGATAAAGTTTAACCCGGAACGGTAAGAAAGACCAGTCAAAGAGAAATTACCGTGCAAAGCGAAAGCCTTGACTTCATCAACATCGTCGGCGTAGTCCTTGAAGTCCTGAAAGTCAGCTTCAAATTCGTCGTCAAGGTCAAATAACTTAGACCTCAACGGCTTTGAGTGGTAATTGCTAGGATTTTTCTTCTTCTTACTCAGATCGGAGGTACCCCATAGCAAGTCGGCGGTAAGCCGGCGTGACGTCCGGCTAGGAGGTACTAAATCGGAGAGAATCGCACCACCACACATGAATTGCTACTTTTCTAGTATCAGAGGAGTATTAATCTATAGAAAATTTGAATGGGAGAGAGTTTGATTTTGATGTTTTGAACTGAAATGGATTAGAGTTTTATGGGAAATGAATGGAGTATTATATAGGCAATTGCCTTGAGCTGAAAAAAGCCTAGAACTCGGTCGGAACGAGGCGGAGTTGGAAGGTGATTTACGTTAATGCCCCTAAGGAAGGTGATTAATTACGTGTTACCAAAATTGCCCCTGATGATCAAATCGCGTTAATTACTTCTGTTTCCTATACGTCAGCAATTTATTAAAACTCCGTTTCCTTATGTGATGCAGTTTAGTTGATCAGGAAATTGTTTTAAAAAAATGAAATTTATAATTTAAGAATAAACTATAAGTATTTGTGTGGTTATAAATTATATTAGGATAAAATAAAAAATTTAAAATTAAATTTATTTATTGGATAGATTATCATCCTTTGACAAGTCTCACGACACAACCAAAACTGACGGTGATCAATGAGTACGATTGATTAATCAAACATAAATTAATTTGACAAATATATTTTTTAAATTAATTAATTAAACATAAATTAATATTCTCCAAAAATATTTCTTCAAAAAATAATTTTTTTAAAAAAAGGCAATCTATAGCAAACCCCTGAGTAAATGTTGTGGATGTCGGCATAATTACATCATTATTGCAATAGTTGAAGAGGTTTGTTGAATGCCGAAACATGGGCCATGAGCCACGAATTGTTGGGCAATGGGCAATGGGCAATTTCCGAAAGCACAGGTTTTACTTTTGAATTTTCCACCGCGATGGGGTGTAAACTACTGACTACGCCATTTCTGCTTTAGTCAAAAACAAAACTCTACCCAAAGTCCCAAAGGAAGAGAGTAAAAACATAACAAGAGGAAAGGAAAAAAGAAGTAATTAGTTAAATATTCAATATTAGTGCTGTTTTTTTTTTAACTAAACCTGCAAATAGAAAGATTTCACCTTGTGATTTGGCATTTATTTGTAAATGAGCATAGGTTATATAACTTGATAATGTAATTTTTTTTTAATATTATCAATACAATTTAATTAGTTATATCATTTATATTTCACCCGTTCCAATTTATATAACGGTGTTTGACTCGATATAGAAGTTAAAGAAAAGTAAAACTTTTGAAACTTATGGTCTAAAATAAACCATAAATATTTGTGTGACCGTAAATCAATTCATTAAGATAAAGTATGAATTATAAAGATAAATTGATTCTAAATAAAGAAATGTGATATTCTTTTTAGAACTGACTAAAAAAAGTGTATCACATAAATAAAGGCGGAGGAAGTAATTATTTAATGCATCAATTTAGTACTAAATATTTTTAAGTTAAAATACATTGGTTTAATAAAAACTTTAAGAATTTAAGTTGGATATACCGATAATATATATATAAAAATAATTACACAAGTGAGTCATTTATTAGGTAATTATAGATAAACTTTTTAATAAGTACGATTCCTTCTTTTTTTAAAATTTCGTGACATATTTCTCTTTTTAGTTTGTAAAAAAAAATATCACCTTTCTATATTTTAAAAATAATCTAACTTCAAAATTCTAAGTTTACATTTAACAAGATAATTTATCGCCAGACAAATGCATAAGATTACTTTAGAGCATAAGGTTCAATTCTTTTTATTTTTTTCTTAATATTTTGATCAAGTAAAAATAGTATCACATAAATTGAGAAGAAAAAATAGTACAATCTTATTTAACTAACATACTATGCGAACTAAAATTCAGTAATAATATATAAAAAAAATTGCACTATCAAATTGTATATAACTTAAATTAAAAAGTTACTCCCTCCGTATTAACTTACCTGAACTTATTTCTTTTTTAGTTTGTACAAAAAAGAATGCTCTCTTTTCATATTTGAAAATAATTTATAGTCATATAAAATATATGTATCCTATTTTATTTCACATATTTAAATATATTTGGAATGATTTATAGCCATATAAATTACTATTTTCCTTTCTTTTTTTAAATTGAAACCAATCAAATAACTTCACGTCAATTGAAGCTGAGAAGTATTATATCTTGCCGTAACCGTGGAAGAAAATTCCGAGCTAACAATAAGACAAGAGACGGGGAAAAGCATTATATCTTGAGGGATCATGATCCAGAATAAGAGGTGGGGTGGGGCCAATAATGACTAGACGCCAACAATTTTGGCGAAAAATCCAATTTAGCGGAGCATTTAACGGTACTACTTTATCTTGATTTTACAACTCGCATCTCCTTTAATTTCTTGGGTTTGTTTGTTTGCTTGCTTGCGTGTGTAGAAGACGCCACGCTGCTGCCCTATTTGCAGGTTTGTTGTTTTATCAAACTTAGAAATGTACCCGAGGAGATATATATATACTTTGTTGGATTTTTTAAAAAAGGCATGAAATAGTTACCCATTCTATTGTATCTCTTCATCTCACCATTTTATTATTTATAAATTTAAAAAAAATTCTTTTTTTTTATATTATTACATTATTTTTCAAATAAATATAAGTGTCAAGTGTGATTTGCTATGTTTGTTGAGTTTGCTGAAATTTTGTAATTTCGATTGCCAGTATTACAGAATAGTTTTTTTTCCGTTCTATCCTGGGAGAAATTAATCCATAACCTTGGACAACAGTGAATGGATTAAATTCCTTAAGGATACACAAGCAACTAGTGAGCTCGAGATTATTTTACGATTTGTTTATTGAACTAACGTTTCTTTTCCTCTGATTTTCTGGATTAGAACACGGATACTAACATGCTTAAGGAATTTAATATTTTTATTATTTATTTTCTGTGTTCGTTTTTGCATCTCTTCGTTGGAGACTAAACGAAAAAGATGGTTGATTTTTGGATGCCCAATAGTAGTAAAGTTATGACTGTTTGCTGCTATGGAGATAAATGCACAAGTGAAACAGGGGCGGAACTAGAGCAAACATTACGGATTTTTATGAACCTAAATAACTTTTGCATATATTTTGTATTTGTACTAAAACATTTATTAAAAGTCTAAGAATATTTAGCTTGGAATCCAGTTCGTTGGTCCAATTATCATGTAAATTAACTTAAGATTGTTATAGGAACCCATAAGCTTAAAATTCTGGATCCGCCTCTGAACCGAACAGTTTCAGACGCGAGGCATGGTGGAGAGTCAGAAGTCATCTTCGATGGATGATGATGAAGAAGAATATTCATGATGATTAAGAGTCTTCCGCTGAATATTAAGAATCGGTTTTTTCCTCTCGATTATGTATGAAGATGTGTCATTTCTTTAACAAAGAAACATTGTTGAAGCAAAACAAAAGTTATAGATTAATTCGAGATCAATTACGATACGACATGGAAGGCGGCATTATACAAATGAGTATCCAAATAAAATATTGGCATAACACAAAGATGATGTGGTGTGATGCCTTCAGTAATTGATTACGTTGCATCAGATTGATAAGATATTCTTGTTTTGGACATTTGATATCCAAGAACTCTTCCAAGTTAGTCTTGGAATAGTTGGACAACGTTATTTTCGACCCAGCAATTGTATAAGCCATAAGGGTGTTTTACAACGAGGGAACTGACTTGCATCGTGTCATTGCTGAAAGATTAAAACGACTCGATGGCAACAAAAGTCGGGTTTTGACTTCTTTACTTTACTCGTTTTTTAAATAATTTACTGCCCTATGTGATTTATGAAAATCCAGTTTTTATAAATGTTAGGGTAGATGTTTATTATGTGATGATCTTATATAACAAATCTAGAATTATATGCATGATTGGGAATAATACATATTTAAAGATTAATTTTATTATTCTATTTAATCAATTTGTTGATATAGATTTTGGTAACATGCATAAAGTTATTTTCAAGTTTTGTAAGATGTGAGTAAAGCTTACACTAGTACTTGAAAGTATTTCTGAAATCATGAATATAATATGAAAAGATATTACATACATTTGTTTGATAAGAAAATATCAAATTGTTGAAATATTTAGGGGTTTTAATGGTTTAGTCGGAAAGCCATTCGAAAAGAAAATGAAAATACTTTGTGAGTTTATACCCCTATTTTGGAGACAAATTGTCTTGATTTTTTACTCTCATCATAGAAACTAAATCTTTATGATTTTCTACTCCTGCGTCGAGATTAAAATCTGCGTGATTCTCTACTTGTTCATTGAGATTAAAGTCTTCGTGACTTTTTATTCATTTGTCGGAGATTAAAGTCTAAGTGACTTTCTACTCATTTTGGAGATTAAAGTCTTAGTGATTTCTACTCCAATATATTATTTAGTGTGAAAATTAAAGACTTCACCGTATATTAGATCTGGTTGTGTTAGATATTACTCGGTTTGAAGATTAAAAACTTTACCGATAAATTCTAGTTGTGTAAGATATTACTCGGTTTGAAGATTAAAAATTTCACCGTTAAATTCTGGTTGTGTCAGATTGGTTTGAAGATTTAAAACTTCACCATTATTAATTCTGGCTCTATCATGGCAAAAATAATAGTTCTTGTGGTTGGCTCTATAAAGTAATAGGAGTAGCAAATATGAATCTTCTTTTGAAAAAATATGTTCAGAATATGGCATTATTCACCAAACGACTGTCCATTACTCACTGCAATCTAATAAAATTACGGAGAGAAAGAATAAAAACGTTAAAGGAGATGATAAATGGCTTGTTGATAAGTTCTGGTTTACCCCAGAACTTGTAGGGGAAAGTTATTTTTATAGTTAACTGAATACTCAATCGAGTTCCCATAGCAAAATGCAATCCATTATATATGAAAAATGGAAAGGAAGGAATTCCAACTTAAAAATATTTTAAAGTGTGGGTATGCTTAGCTAAAGTGCAATTTCCTAAATCCAAAAGGGTAAAAATCAGATCGAAAACCATTAATTGTATTTTCATAGGATATGCAACAAATACTAAGGCGTATCATTTTCTCTTTCATAAATCAGAAAATACCAACATTCATGTTAATACGGTAATTAAATCAGAAAATGCTGAATTCTTTGAGAATATTTATCCGTATAAAAAAGAATGTGAGTCATCTAATGAATAATCTAAGC